TGCAGGTGTGTCATGTTGATGGCCAGAGACGGGCAGTCGAAGAAAGTCTCTCTACTACAGCACAGGCCTCTCTGCCCGCTCTATAAAAAGACACCAGCAGGTGTGTTGGAAGCCAAGTGTGGAGTCGGTGGACGTCTTAATATAGTTTCTGCCTGAAAGCAGTTTTACTGCCCTGATTAATGGTGCTTGGAAAAGTGGTAGTACTGGTGTGATGAGGGTCGTGTTCGACGCTGTTCCATGTGAGGTTCATTTACGTGTATATATATATATATAAAAAAGCTTCAAAATGAGGGTTTGTGTGTCAGGTGTGAAATCACGTCAGTTTCTGACACCTCACTCCTGAAGAGCTGTCCTGTAGCCTGAAAGCAGTTCTCTATTTGCCCCCGGCTCGTCATCTTGGCGGCTCACGGTCTCAAGTTTAATGACCTTTCATAGTTGCACTTGAAGTGAGGATTACCCATAACCGTCGCTGGAATGGTTGGCTGCCGCTCCCATTTCTCTGCCCTTTCCCGACACACTCACACCAACACCTACATTCATAACTGCCCATGTTTCTGTGCTACACACTGTTTATTTACTATTTATCAAACTGCAGGAACAACTGCACGATTTGAATCGTTTACTGTAAAATGGAGAGCCATCATAAGGCAACTATGAATGTATATATTTATGTATATATTTATATATATGTGTCTATGTATGTGTATATGCATATATGCCTATATACCTATATATGTGTATATATTTTTATATATTTAAATATTTATATATAAGTATATATGTATGTATATGCTTTTATACCTATATATGTGTATTTGTATAAATATTTATATATATATACTGTATATATATATAAATGTATATTTGAAAATATATACATGTATATATGTTCATATATGTATGTATATTTGAAAATATATACATGTATAGAAGTTCATATATGTATCTACCAAAATATAACAATCTTTATAAAACTTTTTGCGACTAGCGTTTACACACAAAAGTATTAGTTGTATATTTCATAGTCTCAGAACTGCCATAACAGCTGTTGGGAATACACAGTTTACTCTTCAGATATTACACCTCCAGCTATAAGTAATTAATCTTCCAAGCAAACGGTCTGCCCATGTGTGCAGGAGACTTTACTCCCGGATGCTTTTGGTTCCAGCCACGGTCTGGGTCTACATTTATCATTATAATATGGAGGAAGTGTTGGGCTGCAACAGCAGTGAATCTGATTGTAGGTAAATGGTGTGAAATACAGCACCACACGATCCTTCATTTGGCAGTAACGTGGCTCAACATGGCCTGACCTGTATTTGTATTTAACCCAGCATTATAAATGAATGTCGGGCCGTGCCACACTGTGTGTCTTCACTGCGGTGTTCCTATTTGTATTTCTGTTATTAATGTCAGTGGAATTTCTACCATTAACACTCAGTGAGTGGAGTGCACTGCTGTGAAATGTTTATTATGATGAGCGTTCTGTCGCCAGAACATTGTGCACCATGCGCCTATTTTTTTTGTTTTTGTGCAGCTATGATATGGTATTTAGAAAAAATATGTTATCAAATATTAGTTTTTTATTGGTTTATTGTACTTCTATGAGTGTGTTTAGTATTGGTTGTATTAAGGTGTGGTGGATTTACATAGGTCAAATTAGAACAACAACGTGTAAAAAGGTAAATGGTAATGGTTTTGTCCATATGTGATTACTAAAGCATTTAAATTTAAAGGTCAGTCCTGTGCTGTCTTTGAGACACTGGCTATATCTAAGATGGTTGATGGCTTTCTTTGTGCAGCCAACACCGTTAAGATTATGATTAAGAAGTCATTTATTCCTGTTCTTATTCTTTATGTCTTCATGTGACATTCATCTATTTATTTCTCTGGACTGTGTCTGTGACCTTGACACAGTCCTAGCCTACCTGGGTCACATCCTCAGCCAATCCATGACACTCCTCCAAAAAAAAAATAATTTTTTTTTTTCTGAGACCATTTTGTGTCATCTGAAAAGAATGCCGACTGGAACGGTTTCCATGGTAACCCGTTTTAAGCTGCGGCGCTGTCAGCTCAGCTTCTCGTGTCTGTGGTTCTCAGACTGCATGTTTCCCTGAGACCAGTGCAGTCTGCAGCCATTCATCATGGGTGAAGGTTATTACAGCAGCAGTGGATGAGCCGGATGAACTTGATTGTTGCTTTCTTGACTCTTGATGAAACTGAATGTAGGGCAGGCCGCGGCAGGAAGTCGGAACGATACTTGATACTTGATGTGATTCATTTTCAATTGGAATCACAGTTTTCTAATGTCAACAGAACACTGAGGTGGCAGCACGACTGATGAGAAAATTGTATTGTTTTCTGCATTAATATCTTTGATTTTTCTCTATTTTCTTTACCTTTTATTTTTGCAGTATAAACTTAATTATCATTATCATTAATTCAGGGGTGGGGGACAAAAAAAAGAATATTTGATTTGTGTGTGTGTAAACACTGACTGAGACTGTGTGAGAGGATAAAACCCTGAGAAATATGGGAAGGATAAAAAGGACTAAAAAAACGTGATTTTATTTTATTTTTTTTTAAATTTTATTGTTTCTTAGTCATTATTAGTTGTATCCATTTATGAAAGGTCTGAGATTTTAGACTTGGTGTGTGAGACACAGCTGCTGTGAAAAGTTCACGCAGTCTCCTAGTTAACCTTGGTGTAATATGGTGTGTGATATGGCGTGACCACAGTTGCTAAGAAATGCAGATGGCTGATTTTTTTTTTCTGTTTTACCAGGGTGCGTTTGGAGCCCTGCAGAAGATCTGTGAAGATTCTGCAGAGATCCTGGACAGTGACATGCTGGACCGTCCCCTCAACATCATGATCCCCAAGTTCTTACAGTTCTTCAAACACAACAGTCCAAAAATCAGGTATGAAAAAAAAACAGCTGTGGTACCGTCCATTTGTATCAAGAGTAGAAGACTGTGTCATATCCTGTCACCTTAAACATGTAAATGAATTTGATGTGAATTTTAATTAAAAACATTCTTAATCACTATTGTAATTGTAAAGAAATACTTAAACAGTTCTTTGAAGTACAGTGGAACCTCGAGATTTGAGCATAATGCTAATAGTGCTAATAACAATGCGATAACTGCGATCATACATGCGTGCTCAATCACTCACGCGGGCACCACGCGACTCACTACCATCCCTACCACTCATTCTTCCTTAGGACTCATCACTATTATGAAGAATAATGCACAAAATAGAAAGAAAGTCTTGTAGATAACGCTACGTACAGAAGCGATGCTTACGGAAGGCGTGGGCTGCTCCGAGTGCTCGGCCACATGGCGTCGGCGCCTGTAAGCGTGTTTGTATCTCGAATCTTTACTCTTATCTCAAAGCAAAAATTTGCTCAAAGGCTTGCTCGTATCTTGAAACGCTCGAATGTCGGACGCTCGTATCTCGAGGTTCCACTGTATATAAATTGAATGTTTACTATATAAATTGTATCTGCCCCTCTGGGTCAAATCTGGCCCTTGGACACAGGTATTGTCTTTGACCCAAATATGTAATATTTATGGGGCAACAACATGATCAGACAGAGCAAATGAATGATGAAAGATGGAGCTGTAATTCCTCTCTTTGTGTATTTTTCTGAGTCATTGTGTTGCTCTCCGTCTTTAGCGCTGCTTCTCTACGACCGAGGTTGTTAAAATGTTAGCCTCCATCCAACCTTACCTTGTTTAAGAAAATGTCAGTATTCTTAAGTTTTCCTTTTGTTATAATGTAATAAACGGTCACACTCTGGTGTTTAGCGTGACATAATTATGCTTTTAAACCCATCACACGTCACAAGTCGACCATTTGGTGGTCAATATTCTCTTGCTGAATCATTGGTCAACAACTTGTTATTCCACACGGTGTTTTCTTTTTTTTCCGCTGCGTCATATTTCAACTCTGCTTTGATGTAACCACTCTGTTTGCCATGAAAATATTTGCTCTTATGTTCGGACCAGTGAGGTCAGAGCAGCGCAGAGAGACAGAGGCGGCATTCTCAGAGAGCAGCATGTGAGGCAAACAGGCGGCCGCGACTCTTAAGTGCTGCTTATTGTGTTACAGGTCTCATGCCATCGCCTGCGTCAATCAGTTCATCATCAGCAGGACTCAGGCTCTCATGCTGCACATCGACTCTTTCATTGAGGCAAGTCTTTACACAGTTCACACGCGATCACGGATGAGTCGGATGATTCTGCAGACACTCTGAGCTGCTGCACCAACAGTGTCTTTGAGGTTCATGTCCTCGATCGCTGCACAAGCTTCAGTCAAAACATTCAAAAAACACACTGAATGGTTTCTGTAAAAAAGAGTTGTTTTTTTTTCTATCTCAATATTTATATAATTTTTTTCAGTTTTTTGTTAGGATACAGTCGGAATGGTTCAAATAGAAGGCAGGTCAAAAAGTTCCAAGACAGTTTTCAGGAAATGTGACGATAACAAAGCCATTTCTCGACATATCCTGCATTAAGTCTGAAGACTTCTGCATCATTTCCAGCATTATTTTAAATGGAATCCAGAACAAAAGTGCACAAATAAAGAAATTGTTATAGATATATAAGATTAATCATAATAATGACATAAATAAAAAGTCAGCCCAAATTAACCAAATTGTAAACAACCACCTAATTTTATAAAAATGTATCAAAAACAATACCATTGATACTGGATCCATATTTACTTGGTATCAACTCAGAACTCCATCTTTCAGTGTTGCGTGCGATTGTATCTCAAAGACAACCTGTCTAACATTGTTATTGAACATTACAACGTACTGTATGATCCGTAAGTCAACAAAGAAACTGAGCAGAGGTCACATGACAGAAGGGCTTACATCACAGTAACTTCATACTGCATGTTTGGTTAACCAACATTGGCCAACCTTGTTTAATTATTGTATAATTGGATTTATTAGGATATCATTTTTCTGTGGTTCTGCAGAACCTGTTTGCCCTGGCAACAGATGAGGAATCCGAGGTTAGAAAGAATGTGTGCAGAGCTCTGGTCATGCTGCTGGAGGTCCGCCTGGACCGTCTGCTGCCACACATGCACAACATTATTGAGGTGAGTAAGAATACAGAATAAACATTTCATTTTGATCTTAAAAGAAAGAAATTATTTTCACTTCCAACAAGTCACATACAGTACTTAGACTGGGAAACATTTTAGCATAGCATTTAGCATATGTATGTATGTGCATATACAGTATATGTATATATACAGTATATGTATATATATGTATGTGTGCGTATCTATATATATAAAATAATGAAAGCATACTCTCTGCAGTACTACTACTATTGATTTGTTTTAAATCCATCACAGTACATGTTACTGAGGACTCAGGACCACGATGAAAATGTTGCCCTGGAGGCTTGTGAATTTTGGCTGACGTTGGCTGAGCAGCCAGTGTGTAAGGAAGTGCTGTGTGGACACCTATCCCAGTAAGAACACACACACATACCCACATACACACTCTCTGTCTTCACAAGACATTTTAATTGATGGAAATAACTGTGGACCAAACATTTTTTAAGTTGTTTAATCCACCAAAAAGTCAAACCACGTGTTGAAGAACAAAAAAAAAAATATTCCCATGTCTGTCAGACATTTAGCCAATTGAAGGAGCTGCAATCACATCCTTACGACACCCTGAGATGAACAACAACTACAGTTAAAAAGTAACAAAAAGTTGCTGTGCAAATGTGAAGTCTTTGGACTCATAAAGGTTAAAAATGATTTTGTTAGCTGAGCATGAACCAGTGAAAATGCTGCCGGTGCTGTGTGTGTGTGTATGTCCCAAAATTAATTTAAAAAACTGATGATGATTCACAACAGCCTCGACAGCTGGGCCATGAATCACTCTTCCTCCACCAGGACTGCTGATTAAGAACCTTTGCTGTTGATATCTGTCACACACTTGTATAAAAAAACCTACCAACGCAGGAATCAAATGTGAGCGTCAACTCGTGACCTTTGACCTGTCCTTGCCCTTTGTTTTTGTAATTTCCTGCTCCAGGCTGATTCCGGTGCTTGTCAACGGGATGAAGTACTCGGAGATTGACATCATCCTGCTCAAGGTCAGTTTGTGGAGTCTATTTGTGTCCGTCACTGCACCCGGTGAGTTACACAGTGTGTCAGCATGAGTCGCGGTTCAGTGAAGGTGTTTTTGTGATCAGGATGTTAAGATTAGCTTCACAGGATTTCACCTACAGGTGTGACTGACGATGATGATGATTTTAATGAATGCATGATGGTGATGTTATATCACGTGTCAATTTATGCAATGTTACATTTGAATTTTTTTTCGTTGTAAATTGTCTCCAGGGCGACATCGAAGAAGACGAGGCCATTCCTGACAACGAGCAGGACATCCGTCCACGCTTTCACCGGTCTCGCACAGTGGCTCAGCAGCACGAGGGCGACGGCATCGAGGACGACGAGGATGACGATGACGAACTGAATGACGATGATACGATTTCTGACTGGAACCTACGTGAGTCTTCTCTTAACGCATAAGAGAAAGTTTAGATACATATTTTATAACCTTGTTTCCATTTTTTTTTATCATTTTGTTTTGTGTTTTTCTGCACACTCGCACCTTTGTTTGTGTGTTTGTCTCTCCGTTTTCCTCCAACGATAGGTAAGTGTTCAGCAGCGGCGTTGGACGTGTTGGCCAACGTGTTCAGGGACGATCTCCTGCTACACATTCTGCCCCTCCTCAAGGAACTGCTCTTCCATCCAGAGTGGGTGGTCAAGGAGTCTGGCATCCTCGTGTTGGGGGCCATAGCTGAAGGTAAGCAAACAGGATGTGGTTTATGGAAAATAATAATACAAAAAAAATTCATAACTTCATTAACAGTGTTGTCCCTCTGCTCCTAGGCTGCATGCAGGGCATGATCCAGTACCTGCCTGAGCTCATTCCCCACCTCATCCTGTGTTTGTCCGACAAGAAGGCCCTGGTGCGTTCGATCACATGCTGGACGCTGAGCCGCTATGCCCACTGGGTGGTCAGTCAGCCCCCGGATACTTACCTGAAGCCCCTCATGGAAGAGCTGCTCAAACGAATTCTGGACAGCAACAAGCGTGTACAGGAGGCAGCCTGCAGGTAAAGAAAAACACGTTTGTTTTTACAGCGTATTGTGACGTTGTCCCAATTCAGTCAAAAAAACTGTTTTGAATTTAAAACAGTTTTCCCCAATGAAATATCAAATTTATTTGAGTAGATTTAAGTGCAATGTGTAATATTTTCATGTTAATAGAATTTGCTTAGTTACTGTGTTCAGTACTACTTTTTCATGTCTGATACTACAATTTGGAGTTTCTGCCAAAACCGATATCAATCCGATGCCTTCTTTATGCCACAGGCTGCTGTTGCTAAGGCGATAGCGTCCCTGTTTGTGGCGTGTCTGCAATTTAAGTTGAGCATTTGGGCTTAGGTATGGGATGGACGGGCTGTATTTTTATTTTTTTTCAATATCCGATCCTGAAATTATGACCAATATCGGACTGATACCGATCCTGAGTATCGGATTGAGCCATCCTTGTTGTTATATTGTCTTACAACAAATAATTCAGTTTAATGTTATTAATTTTCATATACATAGACCCACGGAGTAATATGAAACTGTTGACAAATTTGACTCCATATAGTTCATATATGGTCGGTTCCATAGTGTAGTGGTTCGCACGCCTGCCTTGGAAGCAGAGGGTCCTGGGTTCGTTTTCCACAGGAACCACATGCTTGGTGCTTGCTAAAGGGCAGCCTGTTCTAAGCATATCTACTGCTAACACAACAATTTCCCAAATATGGGATCAATATAGTACAATTTTTTTTTTTTTATCTTGATCACATCATATATGTGTGAATCCTACCAGAGATGTTTTTGTCTGGTTATTTTTTACAAATGAACCTGATCTCCCCTGGCTTCATACTGTCTTTGTTTATCTTACTGCCGTACAAACATTGGTTATGATTGGATATCTTTGTTTGGATGACCCACCCCCTAACCAACAAACTCTGATTAGCTCTCGACCTCATTTGTTCCTCCTTTCTATTTTCTCTTTAATTTTTTTTTATCTATCTTCATCTTTGAAAAGAATTCCTTTGACGAAGTCTTAAATAAATAAACACTCTTATAAACCCTGTCCTCCATCACCACAGTAATAGACCTACACTGCATTTGCATCAGTTATGAACAAATTTGCATTTGCTCCTGTGGGAGATGAACTACATACATACATGTTTTTCTGTTGTTGTCCTGACCTTCCTCTGCTCCCCTTCGTGGTGTTAAACCTTATCTTCATTCTCCACAATCTTTCCTTGGACCAGTGCCTTTGCCACATTAGAGGAGGAGGCCTGCACAGAGCTGGTACCTTACCTGGCCTTCATCCTGGACACGTTGGTGTTTGCGTTCAGCAAGTACCAGCATAAAAATCTGCTTATTCTTTACGATGCCATAGGAACGTTAGCAGACTCAGTGGGACACCATCTGAATAAACCGGTATGTGAAAATGTTAAATCAACACACATACTTTTTAATAAATACATTTTGTATCTATGAATGTATCTGGTCTGTCTGAGGGCTAATAAGGAGTTTTCATTCCTCAGGAGTACATCCAGATGTTGATGCCGCCGTTGATTCAAAAATGGAACCAGCTAAAAGACGAGGACAAAGATCTTTTCCCTCTATTGGAAGTGAGTTTGTGTGATTTTCAGTCTCAATTCATGTCATGAAAAATAGACACTTGACAATGTTTTCGCTTCACCTTTGTTTCTCAGTGTCTGTCATCAGTGGCCACTGCCCTGCAGAGTGGCTTCCTGCCCTACTGTGAACCTGTGTACCAACGCTGCGTGAACCTGGTGCAGAAAACACTAGCTCAGGCCATGGTGAGAACACACGTTAAATATATACACAACACATGTTAACTCTTACACAACATCGTCCATCTCACATATAGTTATAATAATAAGAATAATATATATATTTTTAAAATACCGTAATTATTAAAAACTTCATACCACACATTTATTTTACCCTAAATTTCACTAAAATACCTTAATTAACAAAAACTTCATACCACACACATTTATTTTACCCTAAATTTCACATCAAGGGCAATTTGCTCTTGATAAGTAAAAATAGAAAAAAGTAAATCAAATAAAATATATAAACACACAAATATACAAAATAGAAAATTATTGAATTACTTTATAATTAATTTGAAATGAATAAAAAATATGAACATCGTTTTTGTTGTGAGAAATTAAACACAACCCACTAAATTTTGCAAATATACCCTCATATTTTAGTGTTTATATTTATTTAGATTAGATTGTATTTCATTAAATCCTGCAGTACTTACAAAACCCTAAATGTTTTTCTTATTCTTTGTTGAAACTAACGTTTTGACCAGATAACAGTGCATTTATATAAAATGATGTAGAATCTGCACACTTGAATCATCAATGTCTACTTAGCACCACCTGCAGGCCAGGAGTTGACAGCGCAATGCTCATTATTGCCAAACACAGAATAGATTCAATTTTAAAATGTAGTATTAGGGCAGAAATGTACTGATAGTGTTAATGTGAAATTAATTATATTAAGTATGATTTACTGGTTTGATGTTTTAGCTTCACCAGTCGCAGCCAGACCAGTACGAGGCTCCTGACAAAGACTTCATGATCGTGGCACTGGATCTTCTCAGTGGACTTGCTGAAGGCTTAGGAGGAACCATTGAGCAGCTGGTTGCTAGGAGCAACATCCTCACTCTCATGTATCAGTGCATGCAGGTGATAAGCTGTCAGTGAGTGACACATCGCCGGTTGTAAAAACTGACCACGACCCTTCTTTATTGACCATTTGTCAATGTCTCCATATGTTCAGGACAAAATGCCGGAGGTTCGTCAGAGTTCCTTTGCTCTTCTGGGAGATCTGACTAAGGCTTGTTTCCAGCATGTCAAATCATGTATCGGTACGTCCTTTCAAAATGAAACATTAATTTGAACAACGGTTTCTAGTTACTGCCTTATTAACACCCTGTCCTCCTTCCAGCTGATTTTATGCCCATACTGGGTACTAATTTAAATCCAGAGTTAATATCTGTGTGCAACAATGCGACATGGGCAATTGGAGAGATAGCTGTTCAAATGGGTGAGTGCTTCACTTTTAAACCTTATTTCTATGTGACATTATTAGGGGTGCGTGATATTATCACACGACAGTCTGTGGAAAGTGTAATTCAAGGCAGTATTTTGACTGAGAAATGGAGAAAAGTTTCTACACCTGCACTGCAATTGACTTTGTAGAAAAAGCGTACAGGCTAAAAAAAAAAGCTAACCGGTGCTAACACGACATGTCTTTGCTGGTTTTACCCTGTCAGAGGATGGCACCACTGCAATTTACATTGTGTGCTCGACCAAAATGTTAGAAGAGGGAAAAAAACCACCTGTTCCAACTCAAGACATTTAATAAATGTTTAAAAGTGAGTGTGAAGCAGCCGTAGCCACAGTAGTAGCAGCTAGCATGGAGGCTAAAAACAAGGAGCATGGCTATTTCTATTCAGTGTTGGCACAAAAAAGTTAAAAAGTTCAACAGAGATAGAAAAAAAGACCAAGACAATATATCATATAAGATTAGAGACCAAATAGTTTTTGATGACCAGTGTTTTTTGTGGTCAAAAATTGAACAATCCTGTGAACTAATAAAGATTTTGCTAATGCACTGGAAACAAAGCTTCCAAAGCAGGAAGGGACACTGTAAATTCCTGTATTGGGTTATGTTAAGTTATGGTACATTTTTGTAATCCTTGATTAGATGTAGTTTGTTTACATACTGGCCAGACCTGCATCTCAGCTTTTGTTATCACTAAGTTCCATATATAAAAAATGTCCTATCAATATTCTTAAAATATTTTTATTAATACCTTACTGTAAGGACCAGCTAATTTTTAGTTATTTGTATTGGTTAAAAAAAATTATATATCGTGCACCCCAGACTTTTTTTTTTTTTAATACCTTACTGTATATCGATGTAAATGCAGTGCGTTGAGTGTGTGATTGACAGATTTCTCTCCACCGTTCCTTCCTACACACTCAGGGCCTGAAATGCAGCCATATATTTCCATGGTGCTGCACCAGCTTGTAGAGATCATTAACAGGCCCAATACTCCAAAGACTCTGCTGGAAAACACAGGTACCACTTGGTGGCAGTGCTGAGCTAGCCAGCCTGGTCACCACATAGACAGGGCGGTACTCACTCACACTCAGGTCCATTGAGCCAGCACCTCAGCACACTCACCTCTGGTGCCTGTTTCGCCCTCACCAAGCCTTTGGCCTTACAGGTTTGGCTGGTTTCAACGGAGTTAAAGTATGTCAAATATTTTATCTGCTCATTTACTCACTGGCAGCATGCAGTCTGAAATGAAACCCCCGGGTAAGCCTTGGTGTAAAATTCCTGGCATCGTTGACTCAAACGAGCTGTGTAAGTGACCAGGCTTGGATTAAACCAACGTGGTCCGACCGTGCACCTGTGGGTGAGATAGAATTCTGCCATGTCAGAAGATGACACACAGTCACTGTGTCAGAGATATTCCCAGCCACACATAGTTACTTATGAAGACTTTTAGACATACTTGTTGAACTATAACTAGCCCCTAATGAATAAGAGAACATGAAACTGATCAGAGTCAGAGCACGCAGTCCAGAGCACTCTTCCAAAGAAAGGTCACCCTCTGCTCTTGTTTACACTTATCAAATTGCAAATTCCTAACATTCTAAATCAAGAAGTCTTAATGCATGCGAGGGTGAAGTGTAACCTGTCCTGATTAGAGAGAATAGAGAGAGAGAGAGAGAGATAGAGACGTAGATGTGTTCCTCTTTGTTTGCTGTCAGTTTATTTGTTGCTTTGATTTACTGTTCTTTAAATGTGAATGCATATCTGCTAATAGATGTTAAATGTTGTTAAGAATGGCAAACGTTTGGTGCAGGATACCTGATTCAACGACTAACAAAGAATTCATTTTGGTTGGAAAAAAAAAATTGAAAACACGTCAAAAACGCTAAAGTGTAAGAATAAATAAAGGACATTTTCATGTACAACGTCTGCCGTCAAAGATTGCTGTAGCTGGCAACTTTATGATAAGAATTCTGTCTGACATCTTTATGTAACATTGTACTGTAGTTGGCAGGACAGTAATAATGATTGGGTTTGATTTTCAAATTTTTTTTTTCGCTTGCGATTTTTAAAATCTAATCCTCCGATCCTGCACTGAACTTTACTCTAATGAACATACCATCTGCTTTCTGCATGTGTCATTGGACTGTTCATAAATGCCTGTTTGTTAATGAGAATGTTGCATAGTTTTGTGTCTCTTAAACTTAGGTCCTCCCTCTTCTCTGCCTCATAAGAACCTGCTGTGCTGGATACTAGTCTCCCTCCATGTAGTTGACTTGGAGTAATTTTGTCATTTCTTTTTCAAAAGAACAGCAAAAAAAAAAACAAAAAAAAAAAACAAAAGGAGAGAAAAGAAATATTCTGTTTTGTATTGATAATTAACATTTGTGAGTTTAAGGGAGAAATCTCAAGTGAATCTAAAGCCAATTTCATACTTAAGCATTACCTTCAGATTTTAAATCAAGTTTTCTGACAGATTATTGTTAACGCTACTGTAATTTCTCAAAGCAGATGCCTTTGTTTTTACTTTTTTTCTATAAATGTCCTGTCAAAGTTGTCAATGTGTTCTCCCTTAAACGTGTTGTATGTGTTTTTTAGACTGTCATATTTTACATTCCTCCTCACGACTGAAGGGGCAGTAATAATCAACACGAGTGAAATCTTCTGTTTATTATCATACACAGATTCTGTTGATTTATGTCTCTGAGTTGTTTGTTTTTTCTTTATTTTTCTCCTCCCCCTCCTCATTGCTCATGTCTTGGTTGGCGTTTGGTGGTGTGTAACCGTGATTGCGTTACCTTAGCAATAACAATTGGTCGTCTTGGTTACGTTTGTCCTCAAGAGGTGGCACCCATGCTACAGCAGTTTATAAGACCCTGGTGTGTATTATTCAATCTTTTATTTAATTCATCTGCTCTCTGCACTCACTGTCCTCTCGCTGTCTCCTGTTGCTCCCTCTCCTGCTCCTCCTCTTCCTCCTCCTCTTCTCACTCTCTCTCTCTCTCTCAGTTTTTCCTTTTCTTCTGAGTTTGTAAACATTGCCAACCATGTGACTAACCCTGTCCTCTTTTAGGTCCTATTTGTGGTTTTATTTTTTCTTTATGCCTCCGTAGCACCTTCATGTATTTATACATTGATTTGTTTAAGTTCTATTTTTGTCATTGTAAATTGTCGCTAACAACTTAAAGATGCATGGGAACAGACACAGAGTGTCACATGCCTGCTGGTTCAACAACAGAGAAGGGACACAGCCTTTGCTGCAAAGGAGCAATTCCTTGATCCCTCTCTCATTTCCTAGTCACCCAGCTGCATGTGCCTGTCCCATAGTTCCCCCCCCAATCTTCCACTCAATCCTTTAAAAATTATCTTTACTTTCAAGGTGCTATAGGTGGGGATTTAATGAACACACTGCTTAGGCCACAGAGTTTCAGACTTTACAATAGAATTGTATTAAATAAATATGTAAAAGGTTTGTTTTAATCATATTATCTACATGTATTTGACCTATTGCCATGGAAACATTTGTAGAATGTTATACTGTATGTAGTTACTGCTGAGGAGATAATGAAAATTAGAATTCTTACTTTAATACTGGCACATACAATTAAAAATGAATCACTGTGTGTGTAGTAGTGTTAGTCACTATACTTGATTTAATGGCTCTTGGTGTGTCCTGTGTTAAACTGGCCTGTCCCTGTCGTCAGGTGCTCCTCTCTACGAAATATCAGAGACAATGAGGAGAAAGATTCTGCATTCAGAGGAATTTGCACGATGATCAGTGTGAATCCAGGAGGTGTCGTGCAGGTGAGATCCACTGGTTATGACCTTAACTGGGCCTAGAACCCTTGACGTTGCCTCACCGTGTCTCTGTCTCTGTGAAACAGGACTTTATATTCTTCTGTGATGCAGTGGCCTCCTGGGTAAATCCAAAGGAGGATCTCAGAGACATGTTCTACAAGGTAACGGCCAAGTTATTAAAAAGAGGACAGGACTGTATTTGGTGTTGCCAGGTATTTCAGAAAATGATTATGTCTCAGTTTTATTATATATGTATTTATTCTTTTACTCATGAAGCGTTTCCATCTGCCCCCTAGTGGATAGTTGTGTACATGAACTGTACTTTGTCATAGTGTAGCGCAGGGGTGACCAACCTTTCTGAAACTGAGGGCTAATTTAAAGGCACTTAATAATACAAAGAGTTTGATACAGACTTCCTTCAATAATAATAATAATAATAATAATAATAATAATAATAATAATAATACTAATAATAGTAAGTTCTGGGACATACAATAGTAGACACTATGTGTCCCAGTGCTCCCAGGCAACACGTTGGTGACCCCTGGTGTAGAGTAACATTACCTATGTAATGCAAATATGTATTATTTTATATGACCCTCTTTCATTTTATGACTATTCATGTATTATTTTGAAATACAGCTTTCATTTTTGTGGCAGTTTTTGAGCCCTCTGCTGTCCATTATTGGATCTTTCCCATTTTTTTAAGACGTCTCTAGTGAGGTTTGTTTTTTTACTCACCAGTGCTGAAGTTATCAGCTGTGACTGAGAAGATGAAATGCTAAAAAAAAAAAGCTTTTTTTTTTTTACTGTACCAAATGGTGTACAGCCCAGTCCTGGTCACCACCTGGTTGGGAATCCCTGCCTTATATTTACAAGTTCAGATTAAAATAGCCATTAAATACAACATGGTCTGAACTTGTACTGGTGTTTTATTTTCAGATTCTCCATGGGTTCAAAAACCAGGTTGGAGATGAAAACTGGAACCGATTCTCAGATCAGTTCCCCATGCCACTGAAGGAGAGGCTGGCAACCTGTTATGGGGTGTAACTGTTCCTGCAGCAGTGAGCCTCATCGCCGGGGTCAGTTTCTGCTCTACTGTTATTCAAATGAACAAAAAGTGCAAATATTGTTCGTTAAAGATCTCTCTCTCTCTCTCTGTCTCTCTCTCTGTCTCTCTCTCTGTCTCTCTCTCTGTCTCTCTCTCTGTCTCTCTCTCTCTCTCTCTCTGTCTCTCTCTCTGTCTCTCTCTCTGTCTCTCTCTCTGTCTCTCTCTCTGTCTCTCTCTCTGTCTCTCTCTCTGTCTCTCTCTCTGTCTCTCTCTCTGTCTCTCTCTCTCGCTCTCTCTCTGTCTTTTCCAGGTGGTTTTTCACTTTGGGAAGTAAAATAGGGAACCTCTTATACCCAGGGATCACGTTACCCTTTACTGGTGGGAGGGTCTGCCTGCTCAGGGGAGGGAAGGGGTGCGGACCCTTCTTCGACCTGGTGGACAGGGTGGGAGGGAGGTGGTAGCTGCAGTGCTCAAAGCCCCAGTGCACAGGCAAAAAGGGGTAAAGGGACAAGCAGAACAACCTAATCAAGGGAGGAAAACATAATCACATCTTTCTTAGAAATAATGACATTTCTCACATGATTTTTTTTCTCTCCCTATTTCTTCCCCACACTCATACATAAGCAAATAGGGAGTATAGGATGTAAAACTCTGTATCAGATATTTGCTTTTAAATTTGGCTAAAAGATGAGTTTCCTTTTATTGTGAAAGAGTTATACAGGAAGTGGTCTCCACGACCTTGTCAGCATGGGTAAATGAAATGTTGTAGTTTAAAGACAATGCATTTTTATCATTGGAGCAGAAGAAGTTCACCTTAAAGAGATGTTGGAAGTTTATTAAACGATAATAAGTGTAGCTAAAACGCTCATGACCAGCAGCTAAAATAAAAGTACGACTCTTATACTGGCGTTACATGGCGTTTAAGGTATCACGTGTGGAGTTGTCATTTGATTTCAGCGATGGCTGATATTTATGTCACTGGAGATTTTTTTTCCTCTTCTGGGAGTAGGTAGCATGCTTGTATCATTGTGAAAAGTGGTTAATAATTAGTGATATGTGTTGAGTTTTACAGCCATCATTACCCCCGAGAAGGTTCATTTTTCCATCCTGTACATTTATCAATTTACAGTTCTTTTTTTTTAAAAAAAATCCCTCGTTTAGATAATTACAGCCGTCAGCTGTAGAGAACGATGACTGGGTTAATATACCGGCCTTAGGAGAAGTGTAAAAGTCTGGGCTGTGATTTGACAGTGCAGTAAAAATCCCTGTCTGGTCTTGTGATGGATGTGGGTGTGACACAGATATTCGTATCAAAGCTTTAAATGCACACTATTCTTTTTAGTATCTGAGCCTCATGAAGAGAGAGACGAAGGAGAAGCAGACAGGCTGACGTCCTGTGACTCGCTCCTCTTTCGTTTGTGTTTTTTTTTTTTAATCACAACAACACTAAACCTGTCCAAGTGAATATAGTGACTGTTTGGCTGTCAGAACCCCAGACCCTGTCACCTCAATATTGATTATGTTTATTTCTGAATGTACTTAACTTTTGTTATGGGTTGTTTAAATTCTTGTGCTCAAAGCATGTTTTGGAGGATGACTGTGTAATGTTATGGGTGGTGGTGTTTTGTGGGGTACTTGGATGCTGTATGTCTCTTGCATGTTGGTGGCCTCTTGCAGCGCGACCTAGTGTGGGAAGGGGATAACGGGAGGGAGGGGAATCTTCGATTTAACCTTTCAAAAGTTACATACAGCTGTGCATAGTAGCCATTTTAGGATTTGCAACGCTGGTACAGTCCTACAGTGAATCCTATTGAAGTGTACTCCCTTAACTTTTACCCCAAAGCTGGATGTATAATTCTAAAAACTGTGAAACTACAATGTGGATGTCCGTTTGTTTTTGCGCTGTAATATTTAAGAACATGTGTGAATGTTTTGTTTTTGGAAAGGCTGAATGTATTCCATGATGGGTTTGACAGGGAGGATTTTTTTTAATCGTATCATTTTAATGCCCAGCCAGTCGTTTTCCTTTCTCCTCTGCAGGCCAGAGTAATAACTGCAGTATTTAATCCTTTTATGATGCACATGCCATGCACTTAAAAATTAAAAATGCAAGAGCTTGAAATTAACTGTCTATCCAAATCCTTAAGACTATAACCTTATAGTTGACATAGATGATTAATGAAATAGAGCTGCCAAAATGTATTTATCTAATGCAATAATTATTGGGTAATGTCATTCTTGATTTAAAAAAGAAATAATTAGAATAGTTGAGCATCTCAAAATAAATGTAAACAATGTGAAACAGGTTTAGACAAATGGTCTAAAACAGGGAATTTAATGCATCATGGAATACAGAGGCAAATATGTACATGTGCCACATCATTTTGTGTTTGATCTGATGGTTGTCTGTCACATTCCAGCTGTTCAGCATGCTAAAGCAATGGGGTAACACAGTCTGAAATCTGGTCGTTAAAAAAAAAAGAACACACACACACTTACAATGATCCCTGAACCTGCTGTGCTGTATTTCTGACTTGACTGCTGCTATACATCGTAATTGTGTTGAACTACTTGAATCTGTGTAAACCTATGTGTAAACCTCAGGATGTCTGTGTTCAGTGTTAATTGTTTTCATTACCCCCTCTCCCCTCCGGCATCATGTGTGGCTTTACTCATGTCTCATTAAGCTAAAGATTTGTCTCCTGCCCGTTATACGTATGAAAATGGATAACCTTGGGTGTTGATTGACTTTGGTGTTATATACGTGTGCAGCGCAGCTAGCTTTCAGACTATTGCTACAACTCAAAACGCAGGAGAAAACGATAATTTGGAAACATTTTTGCCATTTTTATTAAAATTGTTGTTGTCAAACCTTTATTAATGTTTAGTAAAATGTGTACACAATGCCTTGAAGGCAAATACAGTATACGGTATTTAACTGCGTAACTCCTACTGTACTTAAAGTAAGAGATAGGTTGACAACTTATGGGCGTCATGTTGTATCCATGATGTCTGCGAACACGTCTGACTTTCTATAGAGCTTTATCTTAAAATTTGTATTTTATAAAGCACCCACTGATAATGAGGAATGTCTACTCAACGAACTCCTGTGTTCTCTCTTAGCCTTCAGACTGATTGGACTATCTGCCTTCATCTTTTTTTGCTGATAAAAGCAAAAGTGTCATTTTGATAGATATGGTTTGAGGTTTTTTTAATAAGCTGCTGAATTTTAAAATTAATACTTTTTGGGGCCACCAAATATTTTGGATCATGCAAAGAATCTATATTGTACTGTAGTAATTTTGTAATATTTGTAAGATGATATAGTGAGTGTGACTGGTTATCATTGCTTGAGTCTGTACATTGTTCCAATAAATTGTTTACATCATTCCAGTTCTTGGTCTTTTATTTCCTTTTATACATTAAAGCTCCTGGGTAATGGAGAATTAATTAAATTAAATTAATTTTGTATGTAGTATATTCACACTGTAGTTCTACTGTATATTACAATAAAAATATAAAGCCTCTGGTGTACCTCATATTTTAATATATATTAGTATATAAATAGTAAGTGAAAAAGTGAAGGTTTGTTTGTTAACTTTCTATTGAAATATAACATAAAATATATGGTGAAAGATAAAATATTCTTTTTGTTTTCTTATTGGAATCTTTACAAATGTACAAATTTATAGCAGAAAACGTCTGTATGTGCTGCCGAATAAATAAAGCTATGCTAACTGACCCACTTGAACAGAACATTGCTAAAGGTGTGTTTACAGTTTAGCCCAAAACACTGAAACTGCTTAATTTGAATAAACATTGGATTTGTTGCAGTTTGGGGTTGGGTATATATAAATGTTTTTTTTTAAACATTTGTTTTATTTTAATTCCTTTAGTATGTGCTTGGACTCACTGTTCCGCAGCACATTCAGTAAAATTACAGAGAAAGAGCGAGGCGCAGCACAGCTATCGGGTGGAGGTGGAGTCTCTACGTGGGGAGGGAGAAGAAAGGGGAGAAGAGGAATACGAGGAAAGGCAGATACAACAGAAACGGGGGGAGGACGGTGGATGATTTACGCTTCGGAAGTTGCAATACAGCCGGGTTAAAGAGTTGTGGCGAAGAGGAATACAACAAGATGATAACGCCTTACTTCATAGAAAATTTCTGGGTAAGAAGTACTTTACTGTTCACAGTGTTTACACCGGTGTTTTTCCTTGACTGTGTTCCCTCCCTAACATGTCCATTTCACTGAGGGAATAAGTGTTGTTTACATGGCACCGAGAGTCCTCTGGCTTCCGGAATTGTTTCTGTTAAAATTGCGCTGTTTGGTGCATCCCGGCGCAGTGGTCAGCGATACGTCACCTTCGTTAATTTTCTTTGCTGATTAGTATTTGCCACCCCGAGATTTGGGCCTCAGTAACCCCATCTAACATGAAACCTCCAAGTCCCCGCCCCGTGATCGTCAATTGGCTTTCTCAGACAGGCTTGGAATGTTAAGGGTTAGTTCAATGAATGTGATTGGGTGCTTCAGCTGTCAGTCACCATTCTTAGCTGAACTCGTAATTTTATTCCCTAACAAAGTTTCACTGAGAGGCCAAATGTTTTAGGTAGTTAGGCAGAGGACAGCTTTTAAAAATATAAATCCCCCCTCACACTGAGCGCCCGCACTCAGTCCGTCGTTTAATAAAAGTAGTGTTGTTATACAGGGTTGACATTTACACAGCGTTTGTGGCTATGTGTTAGCCAAGGCTGTTTCGCTCTCGATACTCATTTGACGTGGCTGTGTCATAGCTGCTTAAGTAAAAGTGCAGTTGAGTTTATGACCTTTCGATTTAACACACCTGCCTTAGTTATAAATTTCAATCAAATTGTCATCAATACAACTGCTATAACCTTAGGTGACAATGGCGCCCTGACACAACAACACTGGAGAATTGCTAGTAATACTACTGACATAAAAACAACACCGCAGAATTGTTATTAATATATAAACACCTATGTTTGACCCCTGAAGGGAAGGGAACCAGAAGATGTTCTTTGTTGTGTTTTTGAAATAACATAGTAAAACACGTGTTAGTTCTTATGTGTATTGAATACTGATTGAAATCTATATAGTGGTGTAGCATGCAAGATTTCTCAGGGAAGAATGTAACTTTAAACTCCAGTCTTCCTTTAAACTAATTGATACATTAATTGGTTTATTTCGCAAAATAGACAATAGGTCTTAAAAAATAGGACTTAAAAAATTACGATTAAGCATTCAAATCAATTAAAGAGGAAGCAGGTGGTTTAAGCAGAATTAGCATAGCCACATCTCACAAAACTTACTACTATTAGTCAAAAGAATTAGCCTGTAAAGTGTTCAGTTTGTTTTCTTAGGTGTTTAAACAGAGCCTAACTTCAACTTCCTCGCCGACGGTTTTTAAAGGTGTACTGCTTCTTAGACTGGCATAACCAACGTTATATATAGACATCCAGCTATATCATTACCGTAGCTGGCTGTCAGCCCACCTCAGGACAGACAAATCTGGTGCATTTATAAAACATGCCCCCCTTCCTGATATAGATGGAAACCTCCCTAATTATTCAGTTAAAAGTGAAACAGCATTAGGCAAAAAGTCCTATGTGTTAGACAAATTCTGTGTTTCCCACCTTGGGAGTCCTTCCCTCAAAAAGGAACTTCATTATCAACAGAAAAAAGCAGAGGCATGTGATTCTTCAATCTGCCCTTTGTGCCCAGCAGTGAGCCACAAGAGGGTCCAGTGATGGCAAAGATCAGCTGTGTGCTAAAAATGCAGGGCATGCACACAACCACTTGGCTTTAAGTGATGCATTCATTACCTTTTCACTTGACTACAACTCATCACCACTAGCAATAGACTGTTAGGCTTACCGAGTCAGCCGCCTTGTTTTGCTTCTGCGCAGGATGCAGGTGCATACATCTGTCCATCCAGCCTTTTTTTAGTAAGATTTATTTTTTATTTTTGGTGCTTTTCCTGTATATCATCTTAACTCACATCTCAGATGTAGACAGCCTCTCCTCAACTGACTAAACATTTTTGCACCATTAGGATCCTGATGGAATACACAATGTTGACGTTGCAGCACTTATTTATTACTCATGGGCTACCTTCCTCCAGTATAGCTGTAGATACAACTTTCTAATTTTAGAATCCATCAGTCAAGGGCTTGGTGATTAGTGTCACATCATATATAGTTTTTACCATGACTCTACACAGTCATGGGAAAGTACATAGAAGCCTGATAAGTGAAGTGTTGATGTACAGCCCCAGGGTGTCTCCATACTCCTTGGTGTGTGCTGTATTGTATATCTGTGTGTGTGTGGATTTTTCACTCACTGCACCAACCTAATGTCAGACCATGAACTGTATCAATAACACTGCAAAAGTGTTGTCGTTACAAAGAAACTAATGAAGAGAATCAACCGATTTCTCATGAGAGTCTATTGTTGTGATAGTTACATAACACATAGCATGTTTGTACTTTACACAGGTTATATGTCAAATTTATTAAATTCTTCTGTTCTGCTGACATAACACTGGTTTAGACTTGGTAAATTAGTCACGCAGTGTGCTGTGATGTTTTACTGCAGTGTTTTTTAACCTTTGGCCGTGACCCCACGTGAGATTGCGTGGAATTCGAATGCTTGAAATGTCCAGTAATTGATTAAAAAAAAAAGCTCATACATTTTTTTTTGATTTGCAAATAATTATTATTCGTTTTATTATTATGATTGGAAACACCACACACAATCCTCATCAAATACTCTTTAACTTTTATTAATTGATTGCGTTCAAATAAAATACAGCATATAACAATATCTGAGCTGGTGCATTTTCATTAATGGCTGTGATGATGTGACTACTGTAATGTCTCTGGGGCCGCTAGAAATGTGTGATGTTAAAGTGGGGCAACAAGCCATAATGTTAGAAGCCACTGCTGTAGAGGGACTTATCCTGGAGATTTAATGCAGCAACCTTCAAGTGCAAGTAAGGTGAAGTTGATGTCCATTTGTGTGTAGACCGCAAACAAAGCCCATCCTTTATGTGCTCAACACACACAGCTATATACGTGTGCTGCTGACTGACCGAGCTGTGACATCCCAGTGTACTGGTCCCAGGAGTGCAGTGGTCACATGACTGTCAGACACAATGAGGTCATCCTGCTCAGAGCCCTGGGGTCTATGGCAGGCCATCGTTTAGAGTCTGGAAAGGAGAGTCTTGTTAGGCTGCCTCCAAATTCCTCAGTGAGTGTGTGGACTTGTGTCTGCTGCTTTCACCTGGAAATTTGTCGGAAGACACTTTTCATCGAATCTCTCGTCGATTAACTTTTGTCATGATATGAATAATAACAGGCAGAAGCTGCAGCAGGAGTAGTCTGAAAATCTCATGTAGGATTTCCCATGATCGACAGTAATGTTCACAATATTTAAAATCTTGTTTGTTGGGTGAACAGGCAAAGGGAGTCAGGCTGTGCTTTGAATCATGCATGCTGCATCAGTTCACACACACACACACACACACACACATGTTTACCACTCACTATAATTTTAGAAAATTGTAATGCTGTTTGTCACTAAACTTTACACTCTTGGCCTGGTTTTGTATTCTGTACTTGATTTTGTCAACTTTTCTCGTGCACAAATAGTCTTTAGAGACGCTAACACACAGAAGGTGTTCAGTGAACCACAACAATGGCAGTAAATGTCCAGACAAATTTACAGTTGCATCTAAGTGACACTAGGAAGAGGGTTCTAGTTGGAGTGTGTGTGTGTGACAATCTGAGAAATTCTGCCAATGGTTTCTGACCTTTTTGGTCTCAGATTAGTATATAGTACAATTTAGCTAGGTAACATCGGTAAAGAGTACCGTATACCTTTACTTAAATTTGTCTGATATTAATTTTGACAATGTGAGGCCAGTATGTTTGATGGGAGTTCCGTGACACTGTGGAAAGTTTTTGGTTTCTCTATTTTCTGTGTTGTTGTTCCTTGTAAAGAGAAAGCAGAACAATACTGACCTAACCTGTGTCATGGCTTGCATTACTGCCTGACAGGCATCAAACACCTGATTCCTCTTGGACTAAATAATGAAAGTATGCAAAGTTGCAGAAAAGTGACTCTGCGTTGTGTTTTGCTCAGCAGATGTTACACGATAAACTGCTGTCCTGTGGTTTAGTTTAACAGTCCTTGAAGGTGGTGTTTAAGATTAGGAGGTGGCAGTAACAAAACGGTTGCCCTTGTACTAGTGGTGCTCTTTAGTTCAACTTGGTTAATTATGCCTCTGTGCTGGTTGTATGATTATTTTGTTTTTTAATGTTCAGACATAAGTGTGTTTTTACAGACACTTGTTTGGACGGCATATTCCCATTATCTTCAGAAGTGTCACCTGATGTCCTTAAAAGTTCTTTCAAATGCATAGTTAAGGACTACCAAAGAAAACAAACTAAAAAGTTAACACCTTGCAGTAAAGAAGCACTTAGAGATCAAGTCAGATCAGAATGGGAAAAAAAAATACCAGCAGATAACGTAGGCTATGGAGATTGGACAGCACGTTAACAGGAGGATGACCCGACAGACGGACCCTTGCATCTGTCCACCTGAGGCACCATACTGGAGGAGCCACCAGATAGCAAGGAGGTAGTTGGGAGTGGACAGGAGGCACTGTCACTCTGCCAGTGTTGGCAGGAGGACCACACCCCCATTAGAACAGATGATAAGGACATGGCACATGAAGTCACGCTTCTGAGGAAGATGGTGGTGTGCTGCTGAAACATGTCAAGGTCTTTTTATATCACACACGGTGGGTCAAGAAGTTCTAAGCCAACTTGAAAAACAGCCACAGCTTTATTTCTGTACTCTAGCACAGGTATAATTCACCATCTCACTGTCAGAACGAGATTTGCTAAGAACAGGCAAATCTTTTGTAAACACAAAATCATGTGAGACACCGGCGACGCCCTGAGAAGTAGAGCTTTTTGTCGTCGCAGTTTGTGTGTCTGTGTGTAAACTACGTCCTGTAGTGTGGATTAACACACAGGACCTGTGTAGTGTAAGACAGTGTCATATTTCCTGATTAGTGCAGTACAAAAGATATGAATGAAGCAGTGTCAACATAAGGGAAGTAAAAATGTCAACGGCTCTGGAAATGTGTTTGACCTGAAGAGCTCTGCCCATGGACCTCACTCACACAACTGTGTCAAAAAATAATATTCATTTATTCTTTGCGTTTTGGTGTTGTTAACGTAAACATTTAGTTCACATCAGGTTTATTTATAAAAAAAAATAGCTACGTTTTTGCATGCTAAGCAACAGCATAAAGGATGACACAGTGTTTTAAATTAATAGAAATTAATTGAACGGTTTGTGTTGTAGCAGTTTTGTCTTGACTTTGTCAAAGCACTTTTTGACTTTGCAAATGGTGCAAAGAGTGTTTTTCCCTGTGAAATGCACCCATACATTAGACCACTTCTGTTTCTATGCCATCATCCTGCATGTGATGTCATCACACAAATACACAATCAAGCATCTGTGGAAATTTTAAGGAAGAAGAATGATATTCCCAAGGAGTAGGACCATTAGGAGCTCTACAAGAACCAGTTCTCAAATCCCATCTTTTGATATGCCTTAGCATTTAATTAATTGTCAGTGTGAAAGACAATTTGTATTATTAATAATACATTTGATTATAATGAATTCTTCATTTAATACTGCTTTATAACAGTTCTGACTTTAAACCTACATGAAAGGCAGGTTTTATTTTTTTTCTTTTGCCTTGTTTCATACAACTACACTCACCCTAACTCGTGTTCCTTGATTTTGCCTAAAACTGAGAGAAGCTGCTGTATTTTCCACTCTGCTGCTCAGGGGAGAGCTCGGCATTTGCATTAGTGCTGCCTCAAGCATGAAGTTATATGTCCAGCTTCCTGGAACCTGTGCAGACAGACGGTGCTGCAGTGAGCTGCAGTCACTTTTATGAGCTCAGGTGTTATTACTACTCAGGGCTGTTTCTGCTGCAGACTGGGCTCAAAGAAAGCACTTTCCATCTCGATGCAAACGAATGGAAGATTGGCCTCCTGGTCTGCTCTGAACATCTTTGTCAGTCCATCTCCACTCTGTCTGGCTGTTTCCGTTTCAGATCTTATCTGTGGATGAGCAGCTGCACTTCAGTATCTAATGCCGTTTTCACACTTAACTGGGTTGGACTCCGAGTTCCTCCTTGTAGTTTTAATGGTTTTACAGCCGAGTTAGTTAGTACAGGATTGAACCCCCATCTTGATGTGGATTAGCTAATGTGCATCATTGGAGGAGGAGTGCCATTACTTGGCAGTTTGAACACAAACAGTGAGTAAAACTTGCGTTGCTGCGCAGCAAAAACCATATTAAGTGCCAGTGTAAACACAGCATTAGCAACAGTTTGTTCAAAGCTGTTTTACTATAAACCACTGCCACCATGTCTGGTGAAGTTGAGCTCTTTGTGTTTTCAGCTTTGACTTTGAAGGGTAAAATTTCTTAAACAAATCCAATGTGACCTGGTAAATAAACAAAAAAAAAACAGACATGTTTCCTGTGTTTGTTTTTGTTTTCTTTGTATTCACTGACATCACAGTCTACGTGAGAACAGTTGCAGCACAGAATGGACTTTCTTCCTGTGGCCATTCACTTCTGGTTGAGCCGCGTGACTTTCACCACTTCCTTGTTTTGTGAATAGATTGGCCAATCGTGCATGAAGTTGTGTCTGATTGGTCCATCTCAGTGTTCTGCTTCTCACCTTCTGGTCATCAAGTTTAACATGTAGCAGAGGTTTCTTTTCTTGCCGTGTTCTCGTCTGCAGGCGAGGAAATGGCTGAATCTGTTCCCTTTCAAACATTTATCTTCTTATAACAGGAAACACATCTCAGTGGTCTGCACAGCAGGAGAGAAATGCGGTCCATTGGGCTGCAGAGAAGGCCGGGAGAAATGTGCTATTCTTTTCATGTTTGTTTGCTCTGTAAACACAGAAATATTGGAACTGGCTGGGATTTTTCAGTCCGACACAAACTTCCTGACCTTTTATGTTTGTATGTGCAGAAAAACAAGGCTAAAGCTACGGTTCAGCTCTGCACCAATAATGTCGCCGGTATATTAAACTGCTGACAGCAGATTCCTACGGAAATAAGGAAGGATCTATCTGTCTGTAGTGCTGTGTCAAAACAATGTTGACACACAGCCAGGCAAGAGGAGGCAGCCAGGCAACATCTGATGACAGAGGCTTAATCATATCAGCATCTGCCTTTGCTGAACTGAAACTAGTTAGTTTTTTTTTATCTTCCTGTGAGTAAATGTTAACATATAAAAGTTGTATTGAACAACTACAGCAGACCTTCCCAACATTTTTTAGCTTTTGACAACACAAATTTCTAGTGACCCCAGAAACATTTTAGCAACTGCCAATTGTGCAGTCACGTGATTTCCGTCAATCAAGATGCATCAGCTGTAATATTTTTATATGTTGCATTTCATTTGAACCTATATTCAGGAAATTGAAAGAATACAGTTGTCTTTCATCATATTTTTTAAAAGAGTAATACTTGGTTGAAAAAATATTTTTATTAGCAATTTTTCTGATCAATTGTGAGACTTCACACGACCCCATTTTAATTCCAGGCAACCCCTGTGGGGTAGTGACCCCAAGGTTGCAAAACACTGACCTACAGTAACTGACTCACCATCCAACTAAGAATTAGATTCCTGTGTATCACAAGAGACAGCCCAAGTTTGGCACGTACCACCAGGAGTTTGTTCCTTTGTTTTTTTAACCCTGTTAAAGTTGATTCTCTACCTCAAAAAATGATGTTTTTTTTAAAAGATGTATATAGAACTAATTCAGTTTATAACTCAGTAATAACTATTCAGTAACAACTCAGTCTAACTTTCTGTTTCAAATGAATTATTCAGAGATGCATTTGCATTTTTTAGCATCTCTGCAACTGGACGCTCTGAGCTCGTTGCGTGGTTACAGCAAAACAACGAGCCTATTGGCTGCTTTGGTCCGGTCCACCACCTGTTAAGGCAACAGTCAACTTTTCATTCATGTGTGTCTCAACATGGCTGTGGTTGGTATGGTGGACCAGAGGCTGCTGCAGATGCAGATGGAGGCGATGCAGATGATGAAAACTCTGCTGGTAGAAAAAGCCCTCAGGGTAAAAATGTGTTGTTCATAACTGACGTGTTGACGCTTCTGTTTTCTTCAGACTGGAAGCTAATCTGTTTGTTTTGTCTCTGTAACACAGGGGGAAAAAAACAATGGCTTTGACGTGCTGTACCATAATATGAAACATGGCCAAATTTCCTCCAAGGAGCTGACGGACTTTATCAGAGAAAGGTGAGAACGTTTGTTTTATTAGTCCACAAGAGAGAACTCATGGATCTGGAATAAAGTTGGTTCCCTGTTTAAGACACTTAAATTATTGAAGACAAGAGAAACAAAACCAAAATTATTTTGAATTTAAACTAAATTTCTTAAATTTGGTGCATTAGACCTACCTATTGAATAGTTAAAATATCCAAAACAAATTATGTATAATGCATTGTATGTATTTACTATGCAATGTATGCATCACTTCACAATACCATATAAATGAGTGACAATATCTAAAAAATATCATTATTAATGTTAATGTAAAGTGAAAAGTCTGTACCTCTTCCTACTACTTTTTCAAATATAAATTATTACATTATGTTACTGTGTAAATAGACAGGCGTTTGGTTTTCTAATGTTTATTTATATGTTTAAAATAAATAAACAAATATAAATGTATGTTAGTTAGAATTTATGACATAACCAAGAAAAAAACTGTCATTAAATTACTTTTTTTAAAATGTATTTTGTTCATTTGCTTTAAAAAGAAAAAATTAAGTTCCTGGAACAACAGCACTGCAGTACTGCTTCTTGTAGTTCGGCCTGTTGTGCTCGCTGACGTCAGTTCAGGGTGTGTTAAATCCTCTTTACACACCCTTGGTGTCCACAGCCTGAAAACCAGCTTTCTACCAGCTTCTCTTCACATTCTTTCTTGCTCCATTAAGGTTAACTACAGTGTGTGTGTGTGTGTGTGTTTAATCTGATTCATAATTAATGGTCCGCTGGTGGAATTCAGCTGTGGCTTCCACTGTCTGTGACTGCACAGAATGCTCGCTCTTAGATCTATGAACTCTGCTAATGGAGACATTAGCAGTGTTTATTTAAAGGTAGTGGGTGTGGCTAATTCCCGAGAGTAAATAAATCGATTTTTAAAATGACTGACCTTTCAGTTACACAACCCTCAGATTGTTTTCATTTTGAACACAGACTTCCTATGTAAAAAATGAAAATGGTTTTAACGTTATAAAATATTTATTGTTGCTGCAGTCTGTTGTTGTTTACATTAGCATAATGAAGCAGTGCATTATTGATGACCAAACAGAAGGTCATGTCAAGCGCGGCATTTACCGAGTTGTAGGTTAATTGTTATGGGAAGGTTTTTAATTTGTGCCAGCTTTCTGTCTATTTAGAGGCTTTTATTTATAGTTCAGCTCTAAATACTTCTGTTCTCTCTTTGGCTCCCTCTGGTGGAAAATACGGGAACATACACTTAAAAATAGTGTCTACTACTAAAAATGAAAATGTATTTGTTCTGGATTTGTTCTACAGATGCTCTCACCATTAGATTTACTATAATTTTTTGATGACTAATGTCTTTGCATCATGTTTCATTCTTCAGGAGTACCATTGAGGAAACCTATGCCAGGTCGATGACCAAACTCGCCAAGTCAGCTGGCAACTTTTCTCAGCTTGGGTTAGTGGACACAGTTAGTCACCAAACTGAATAAAGACCAGTAGTAAAGTGTAATTTAAGGTGTTGAAATGTTTAGCCCTCTGATGAGCTGTCATTCTTTATTGCAGCACCTTTGCTCCAATGTGGGATGTGTTTAAGATCTCCACAGAGAAACTGGCCAGCTGTCACATGGAGCTCGTCAGGAAACTACAGGAACTCATAAAAGAGGTGCAGAAGTATGTGGAAGAACAGGCCAAAGCACACAAAAAGGTACACAGATGGAAAAAACACAGAACAAACTTTGTTAAACTACTGTCTTTTAGGCCGCTTGCAATAATTTGCGTTACCTAAAAAGGACACAAAGATAATGTACATTCATCAGCAGGTTCTGCTCTGGCTTTTACGCACAGAGATTTCCGTTTGACTTCTTGAACTTCCTTACAAATATAAAATCCTCGGATGGTTACAGACCCGTGTTTTTGACTGTCTGTTGCTCAGAAACATTGTGTTTGAATTAAATTGAAAATTAATTGTCTTGTTTTAAAAAGGGTTAGAAAGAGTTATTTAACAAAGAGTTATTACTCCAATCAGTTTGGTGCCACAAGCTGGAAAGTGAAACTTGCCAGAACAGAGAACTGTGTTTGTTTTCACTATGTGGTTAGAACAAAGGTCAATCTGGCGTTTTATACTCTACAATCAGTCAAAGTATAAAACGTGTCTGTATTGGACTGACCATCATTACAACAGAAACGTTTTCCCTCGGTGCAAAATAAAACTTTCTTTAGTCGAACCCTTCTTCTTCTTTTAATTTAAACTAAATGTGACTTAATGGTTGACTGACAACTGTAGTTACAGCTGATGGGGAAACCTCCGATGTAATTTCCTATTATAAACACTGAGCCATGAACTGCTGACACAGTAAATAATACGGTGGCGACCTCCATCTCTATGACGGACAAACCCTGAGTCCTGAAGAAAAGACCGCTATTTTCATAGGTCATATTAAACAATAGCAGTAAACACACACAGAGTGGAACAGTGACACGGTGTTTGACACACGTACTTCATCATCAGCCTGTCATTGGTAAAGCTATTGTAAGAAGACATTGCTTTGTTTTTTTCTGCCAGACTAAAGAAGAGGTAGCCTCCACCCTAGAGGCGGTCCAAAACATCCAGACCACATCTCAGGCTCTACAGAAGTCCAAGGAGATCTACAATGCCAAAACAGTGGAGCAGGAGCGGCTTCGCAAAGAGGGCGCCACTCAGAGAGACGTGGACAAGGTGGGAGGTCACGCTAAAACATACGCACATACTCAGGGTATAAGTGTTTACACGCTCCAGTCTGTAGAGAAAATGAGTCCTCCACTCCTGACTTCAGATGTTCAGAGGAGTTTGGTTTCCTCACTGAGTTCCTTTGTCTGCGTTCTACAAACTCATATTAGCTCTTTATCTGTCTGCTTATGTTCTGCAGGCTGGAGTGAAAGCCAAAAAAGCCACAGAGACCTACAAAGCATACGTGGAGAAGTACGCCAGCGCCAAGTCAGAGTTTGAACAGAAGATGGCTGAAACTGCACAGGTATGGTGATGATTGAATTTCCTCTGTGGTGCGTGCCTGTGTTTAAATCAAACACAGAATGTGTTCACTGACTCCGCCTGCTGTCTGCCTTTGTGGTATGCAACTTCTGTGTCTGTTATGTGTCACTCTTGTGTGTGTGTGTGTGTGTGTGTGTGTGTCATCTCCAGTTTTGTGTTGTTGTTTTTTTTTTTCCTTCTGACTCATAGTGGAAAGCATTGATTAAATCCATCTGAGCGACCAATGAGATAAAGTCTAAAATTAAAATCAGAGCAGCACAGTTTTGGCTCTGATGTCCTGCTCTGCTGCCACCACAGCTGCAGCTGCTCTGCCACCAAAAGCAGTCCTGGTCATCACACCATTTTTGGATCCCCCTCCTACCCCACCAATGCCCCACCTCTCAGGAGAACGTGGTGTTGCAGCCTTGTCAGAATGCACTTCTTTTCTCTGTGCGTGTGTGTGTGTTATCAGCTAATAAACTGGAAAAAGAATACGTACTTATTTTAAATTTACAACTTGGACAAGATTTGGTGATTGTTCTCCAGAGATTATTTTTATATCCAGTAGAAAACAATCAATTTCCAAACTCATAATTGATCAAGAAAACATGACATGCAAAGATCAGATTTACCAAATAATGATGACGTATTTCCAGCCCATTAGACTAATGGATGTTACAGATGTGTTTGAGAAATCTGCTGCAGTGGAGATGGACTAGAATAACATGGGAAAACAATAAACAACAGTGGCTGCATGGACCACCTCGAAGACAACACGACACGACACTGAAACACATCACCGTCTGTGCTGCCTTGACTGACCGCTCCATTCTGTTTTTGCAGAAATTTCAAGACATTGAAGAAAATCACGTTCACCACATGAAAGTCATCATCCAGTCGTACTCACAGTCAGTGGAGGAGACGCACGTTCAAATAGGAGAGGTGAGTCCACACACACACACACACACACACACACATATTCAAACAATTTGACTGGAGTAAGTGCCTCATTGAACGCTGTCATATCTATAGGTCTGATCAAGTTAATTATTCAACTCAGTTATTCTGCCTAACGGCTGATTACGCTTCATTAAAACCATTGTTTCAGCCGTTAATCACAACTGTATTAATCCATGTGAACATGGAAGAAACACATTTTTTTATACAGAAAAAAAATCACTTCAGATCTCTGCTCTCAGGATTGTGTTGTAGTCGCACCAGCAGTGAAGTTATTTAATCAACAGCAGAGGGCGACATAGTATCACTGAAAGTGTCTTGAGTGTCAGGCAGGGCCACATGTTCCCTGTTGAAAATGTATTAAACAATAAGGCTAAGGTGAGGGGGAGTGGGTTGAACTGGTTTTAAAATTGTACCATATTACAGACTTAATTCTGAAGACCTGTTCTGTCTGTATAAATAATAAAATTAATATTCCTTTTATTGTCACATTTTATGCAGAACATAAGGCAAAGTTAAGCATTCTAATACGAGTCACTTCACCACCACCAGGGAGCTGTAAATACAGTCTAAGCTGGTCATCAGTGACGCTGCCTGGTGGTAGTTATGGCTCAGCTAAGTCATCAATGAGATAGTTTGGCACTTGGTTCTGCTAAGGTATGATAAATATATAAAATAGTAAGTAAAGTGAAATGAACATATGTTACCACTTTATATTGTTTTAGGCTTGAAAAAAAATATAGAGCTTATGTTTTCTAATGTTTTAATAATAATATTAATTATTATTATATGTAGTCAGGTTTCATCTTCTAAATAATAGCTTGGTCTCACGTCCTTCCCAAAAATAAAAATAAAAACATTTAAGACTAAGAATATTCAGAATAATGAGGTCATTGATGATGGATGAAATCAAGAAATCAATGAGATCTTTGGACTCATAGAGGCAGGTGCGACTCTCTCTGTGTGCGCTGTGGTTGTTTTTTACAAACCAGTATTTGTGTGAGAGTCTATATCCTTTGAAGGCAGATGCATATTTCAGGCTGTGGTGCAGAGCCGTCACCATAAACTGCCTGTGTGTGAGCAGACAGGCTCGGGTTGATTACACCACTGCCCTTCATCACCGTCGTGGAAGCAACACCTGGCGTATCGCGTGTGTTCGCCAGCCTCTCCTCTCTGCCCCCTCCCCTCTGCTCCCCTCACCTACCTCACCCATCCCCACACCCACTACATCCTCTACTACCATGGGGCAGAGAGCTAATGCACTCCACCTCGCCGCAGGGGCCCGAGGGGCTGACACATATGTATGTTTGTGTGCGTTTGTCAGATAGCGGAGCCGCTCTGTGCGTACGCTATCACGCACAGCTAAATGGTTTGTTGAGACAGCACAGTCTGCCGCTGCTCTTATACATCACTTCCTCTTCCCCCCCAGTGAACACACGACTAAACATGCACACTATAAAACAAACAAACAAACAAATACTGTACTTCCTATGGTCTGGCTCCAAAGAGGCCGACTTCAGCGTCAACAACAATTCAAACTGACACCAGGCCAAACATTAGGAAAGTGTTGCTGAGCTTTACTGTAGTAACAGTAAATGGAAGAGTTCTGTGCTGCAGGCTGGACGTGTCTGTCTGCCTGTGTGGTAACACACATTTAATCAAAGATGTGAAACTAATCCTTGTTTTATGCTTGGAAAATCACCCACGTACGACATGCTTTTATTTCATTTCATCGTGTCGGAGCTGCAGAATATTCTAGCTGCGGTGGTTTTTGTTTTGCCTCAGTGCGAGGAAAGACAAAATGTATGATAGGTGGAGGCAGTGATAGGACGAGGACACAGTGATGACGCTGTTGTGAGTGTTGAAAGAACTCTCTGAAATATAATATAACAGTTTACAACCCACTAGATCTACACCATATCACCTACAGTCATACAGTATCTCCTCTCTGTACAAGTCAAACATAAGTCACATACAGATGTGACTTGCTGCAGACAAACAGATTTTAATGAAAAAAAAGTGGTATTTTTGAGTTCTGGTATCACTTGTATTATTGGGCTCCATTTTCTCTCAAATTTTTTCTCAACTATTTTGCTGTAGTTTTTTCCATTATAAATACAGTTTTTACTCTGTATACTCTGGTTGGCTACCTGAGGAGGGGAGATGTGTAGTTGCCTTGACCTTTCTGACCCAAAGCACAATCCGGGCATTTGTAACAAATGAGTTTAGAAATGATTTTTTTCAGCCACTGCCAACGAGACCATCATCGTCATCGTGGTCATTACAAAAATGTTGGTGAATGTAGCTGGTAACTTTTGTTGCCCATTAAAGTTCTTCACTTAAGTATGATTTTCCTCTCTGTTGTTGACAAAACTGTCATTAAATGTTTTTCTTTTTCTTTTTTTGACTTTTCAGCTTCACAAGGAATTTGTTAAAAACATTGAAAACACATCTGTGGAGAGTCTAATACAGAAGCTGTCTGAGAGCAAGGGAACGGGGAAGGAGAGACCAGGTAACAGCAACCTCTTGGATTCTTACGACCCGTCTGTGTTGATGTCTGTGTTGATGTCTGTGTTGACGTCTGTGTTGATGTCTGTGTGATAAAATGAGAGGTTCGGAGAAACAGAGCCCTCCGTCTGTTTCCGCCTCGTTGGGATGAGAGGTGGTGTTAACTAGAAGAAGCCGAGCTCCACCAGTATCAATCATAGTAATCTGCTGTAAAGGTAGGCAGGCTTGGCATTCCAGTTCCAGGCATGTGACACACGGTGGCTTTGCTGTGCTTCCAGACTGTGAAGGCAGAACAAACCGTCTCAGGAGGTCAGAGCTCAACAGTGACTCTTGAGTAAACGTTACCACATAATGAACAACATAATCAAGGGAATATTTACAGACAACTTGGTCTCCACTTCTCACCTCCGTTTTTGTTTGATATACAGTAGCTTCACAGTTCGTACATTGACAGTTGGATGTTTTTACAGAATTAAAAGTCATAATTAAAACGTACAGATGTACGTACAGATGAAAGGACTAAAAAAGATATATTTTTTTCCCTTGCGCTCCATTACATAAGACTTTAAGACAGCTCTGTCCAGTTTGTTTGTACACAGTCGGTGACCCCTGTGTCCAGACGCCGTGTCCCAGAAGTGGCAGCCTTCATTTGTTTGGACAGCAGATTTAATTGAGGCTGAAAAAAACGGCCAGAAAATTCCTCCTGCGTCAAGCTGTTCATTAAGGTTCCCCCCTCACCACCCCTCCTCCCTCCCCAGCCCCGGGGCCTGTCAGAAAAATAACCTGTCTGTCGCCTGATTGAATTGCTGAATGGATGGCCGGTCGGTGCCTTTAGAGAGAGGGAGGTTGAGTAAACTTTGTGTCGCAGAAACAATCCCAGAGTGACACACCGCGAAGCGGGGAGTTTCAGAGTGTTCAACGATATCCAGCTGAGCTGTCAACTGGCGGCTAGCCAGACACGCAATCCCCTTCTACCCCCTCCCCTTCCCCCCGGTGCCATGTGAAGCATATGCAATTTAAAAAAAAAAAAAGAAAAGAAAAAAAACCCTCCTCCGCTCATGCGTGACTGCATGCTTCCCTCACAGAGAGTAGAAAGAAAAGAAACATCTTCCCCTGTGTAAACAAAGTCGTCTGTCTGTTTATAGGAAGTTTAAACAGTTCCTAATGTCTGCCCAGATTTAGGTAATATTCATGTGTCTGGTGTTTAGACTTTTTTGCATTTGGTGTGCATAAATATTGTCAGATGCAATCGCGGGACGCTGGCGGCAAAGAGTTCCTGCTCCGCTCGGAGATCTACAGCATTTGTTAACCGTCCCGGGGCTTGGACAAAGAACACAATGTGTAATTTTCCAGTAATTTCCACCTTTTTTTTTTTTTCTGCCCACCACTGCTGTTTCTGAAGTCTGTTGGTTGAACACTCACATCTTCAGCTGATGCATTTAATTAAAGCACCGTGAATGGCATTGATTAAATTATTACCTCATGCGTTTCTCTCATTTCCTCCCACGAGAGAGAGCCACTTGAGTGAGCACGCCGATTTTGTTTTGGTTGTCATGTAACACACACACACACACACACACACGTACTAAAAAAAACAACAGTCGGTGCTCTTCATTGTGTACTGGCAGGCGGTGAAGGGGCCTGACGCTGCAAAGGAGAGTAGTCTGATCATCGCTGTACTTTATCCACTTCACTTAGCAGCATGCAGGCCTCTCGTGATTCGCCTTTTTCCCCCCGTGCTTCACTCAGCACCACACACGTCAAACAATGCATAAATTCTACTCGCTGCTGCCGACGTCCTCTGGAGGGGCTTTATTGGACCACTGCTGATGTGTACATTATAAGTTATAATATCCTTAGCTTTGTTGTTTTTAGGTCAAGGCATGTTGTGCTGTTGGGAGATAAGGCCTGAGGGTCCTGCCCTGTCTCCTTTCTTTCACACTTTCTTCCTCATTCTCTCATGTTGTGCTGTTGAGCTGTGTAGTCACGATCTGCTCAGATGGTCGACTGCATTTAGTTTGCTTCATAATATTATACACGCTAAGTACAGTAGAACGGCGGTGTCATTGGTGGCTGCTGGCCTATTTACAAAGGTGAATTTATTTTATGGCTCATTTGATTAAATCTTTGTTAATTTAATACTACCAGTCCCCTCCTTTTTTAAAAAAAAATGTTAAAAACTGTTTTTTAGCAATAATATAAATAACCTAACATGAAGTAAAAATCACATTAATATTTGGTGTTTATTTTGGAATCCAGTCTTGGGCTGAATTGGAGATTTTGTTGCACCAGATTCAGTCCGTGGGCCACCAGTTGATGGTCACTGCCTCACCTCTATACTACACTGTCACGTACTCTGTGTGTTATTACACCTCCTGACTCAAGCAGCCGAGTCATAGTCATTTCCCCATATCTTCATAAGTTAGGAAAATAAAAGGAAGTTACAATTTTTGGAAAATATAATTTGGATGTTAATCATACTGAATGAGTCTGAGTGTGAGTTCATCTCAGTCATGACCAAAAAACATTGGTAAGAGTTTTTTTTTTATTGTTCCACAAAGCTGCTTGTCACCCTGTTCAAGGGAAATAAATGACAAATCAATGAAATTTATCTTTAGCTGAAATAAAGAAATATTGACATCAAATTTAATTTGCTCTGCCTAATTTTCCTACAACCTCAAATGTGTGTGTGTGTGTGTGTCTGTGTGCGTGTGCAGAGTGGGTGTTCGCATGCGTGAGCTCCAGCGTTGGCTCATCTAAAAAGCCTTTGGTAAAGGTTCCTGGAGGCACAGTGAGAGCGTGACACTCAAAGTGCAGCGCCCCAGAGGTTTCCGTGTATAATTGATGAGCATCAAATTAGGTGTAAACCCAGTTGTTCTTTGACTGATGTGTCCAAATAACCAAGAGCAAAGTTATCTTTTGTCAAATCAAATCCACAACTGGTTGTTCTCCAAGTTCTATCACAGCCATTAGTCGTAACAGATCCTGCTCTGTGATTCTCCCTGATTGTGTTATTTCTCTTGGTTCTGCATGTTTGTTTATCTGTTGGATTAAAAAAAAAATACATTTTTTTTACATGTCATGAAAAAGGAGAAAAGGTTTGCTGTTAAGCCAGAGAGCAGATTTGTCCATGTGGCTTTAAACACTTCTCATGTAATCTTGGACTTGTTTGTCTTATTGTAATAGGGTTAGTGACTTTGCGTGTCCCTGGTGAGTAGGTTTAGTTTCAGTTCACTTCATACCTGCTGTTTGCCGTAAGCACATAAGCCACACACACACACACACACACACATCCACGTGATTATCGAGGGAGAAAATCCCAAATTGGACCATGGTTGTTGTGTTTCATGTGAACCAGGTGGTTTTTGTGCGAGAAGAAAAACAGTAATGCCTTTTATGCCCACAAGGGAGCGTCGCTGTGTTTTCTTTGAGTGCCACCAAACACACAGTTGACTCTGATATTGACCTTGTCTGCCCTCTGGGACCAGCCCAGCCAACTGGCCAGTGTGCTGTATATGGCACGCCAGACTGTGTGTGTGTGTGTGTGTGATTATTGCGTGATGATAGATTTATAACATTCACAGTATTGGAGATCTTATTAAATGAGTATGTTTTTTATTTCTCTTGTGTTTAGGTCCCATTGAGTTTGAGGAGTGCAACACAGCCATTGCTACTGAAGGTGGGTCCCATCACGAAACTGATGTAGCTGTGTGCTAGCATCTAGACTGTCGCAGCTAATCCTTTACTCATTGAGAAGTGTTAACTTGTGCCAGTTTGTAGGACCCTCTCCTCCTCACATCTCCTGTCGTTCATCGTATTTGCTTGGTTGTTGTGTTCAGGTGCCAAACCGAGAAGGCGAAAACCATTCAACATCCCCGGACGCAGGAAAGACAAGGATGTAGACTCGACGTGAGTCAGCGCATTTTATAGAAATAGTTATTGAACTATACAGCACAGTTGTTCATCTATACCTCAGGTCTCCACATGTCTCATGTTACTGTTTGTATTAACACAGTCTGGTTAGGAGGCACCCTAAGTAGAAAGTTATTCCAAATGTTGATTTTAAATCAATAAAATGTGTTCTTGTCAAAAGTAATTTACGAACATTTTGTGGCTATTGTGTTTTTCAGGGAGTCAACAGAAGTTGAAGTCGCTGTGAGTACTATTGTTCCCCCAAAAACCAAATAAATATTCTCTTTAAAATTGGCTTCTTTCGAACACGTAGACTCTGTCACGCTCTCAGTTTCCTATTGTTTGTCTTGTAGATTTGCTCACTCATTTGTTCCCTCTTTGTTTGTTCTTGTAGAACGCTGCCAATGGCGCCCCCCCTGGGTATTATGGGGCCATAGACATCCAGAACGCTGTGAGCTATCCCTGCACACACACACACACACACACACACACACACACTCACACACAAAGTACATTCTTAGACAAAGACATGTGTGTGTATGCAAAAAACCAACAACAAATATATACATATACACATAAATATATATATATATACACACACACACACATAAAATATATATATATATACACACACACACACATAAAATATATATATATATATGTATATGTATGTGTGTATATATATGTATATGTATGTGTGTATATATATGTATATGTATGTGTGTATATATATGTATATGTATGTATATATATATATATTATTTTTAACTGCACTAAAATTCTTTTTCCATTTTTTACAGAACGTTCCCCAAATTGATGCAGAGGGTTTCTGTATCAGGCCAGAGGTCAATGAAAATGATATCCTTCTCATTCTTCCTGTTGCTTTTTTCACCGTCAAACTTAAACACATCTTCCACGTTGTATCGTGTTACGTAAACACTACCTCTTTCTCCCAATGTCAACGTTTCCTTAACGTGCTTCACATGCCAAAGAGAACTCCTTCTACTCGTCCAGCGACTCGGAGGATGAGGATGAACCCAGGAAGTTCCATGTGGAAATCAAACCTGTTCAGCCTAACAATGGCACGCACCAGATCAGCGCCACCATTGATGAGCTGAAGGCCTCCATTGGAAACATTATCCTGTCACCCTCCACCTCGGTATGGCTCATCATCATCATCATCATCATCATCATATCATCATCACACCAAAACTTTCAAACGCAGTGCTGCTGTCATGCTGTTCACCTGTGCAACACTAGAGGGCAACAGGGGAACGTTAAAGCTCCGTCACGCTGCACGGGAAGCCTTTTCCTCGGTCCACAGTTCTCTGCCTCCTGTAGATGTTTGCTTTAGGTCATTATTTTTTGGCGCGTCTTATATTTACAGTGGAAAAGAGGGTATGTCTTATGTCACATTTATTTCACAGGCCAGTATTTTGTGGCTCAGTGCAGTTCCTGTTTGCACACAATTGTTCTGGATTCTACTTAGAAGTTTGTTTTACATAGTAAAAAAAAAAAAAGAAGAGTAAAACAGTCACTGTTTAGACATAATATTCAGTCACTTGCAGTAGTAGTTGGCCACTTTCACTTTTAGCACAAAACAGCTGAATCACACACACACACACACACACACACACACACACACTCAGTCAGTCACATGAAAGAACAGTATGGTCCGGCCTGATCCGTGACCTCAGTCGTGGAGCCCTTCATTCACCTCCCTGTCGTGAACCATCACTCAGTCTCTGAATCACTCCTCGCCGCTCTATGAAAATAGCGAATGCCATTAAAGTTTAAAAACACAGCGGCTTGTGTGCAAACATGCACTCTGTGTGTGTGT